AGCAGGGGTAGCAATCTTATTTGCAGACAAAGTAGATTTCAAACCAAAACTAATTAAGAGAGACAAAGATGGTCATTACATCCTTGTGAAGGGAACATTCCAAGAGGAAGAGATGACAGTCATAAATATTGTCAAATACGAATGCTCCCAACTATACAAAACAAATATTAATGGACACGAAAAGCCAAATAAGCACTAATACAATTGTAGTGGGGGACCTCAATACCCCACTATCACAAAGAGATAGATCATCTAGAAAAAAAATCAACAATGAAATTCTAGAACTGAAACAAGCTACTGAACAAATGGACTTAATAGATGTTTACAGAGTGTTCCACACCACAAAATCAGAATACACATTCTTTTCAGCTGCACACAGGTCATTCTCCAAAACAGACCACATGCTAGCTCACAGGACATGTTTAAATAAATGTTAACCCCTGTATATTGTCAGACCACAGTGCAATAATATTGGAGATCAATAGCACAAGAAACCGCAAAACCCCCACAAACACATGGAAATTGAATAACATTCTCCTGAACAAACAATAGATCAGAGAGGAAATTAAAGAAGAAATTAGACAATTTCTACATGTAAATGATAATGCAAGTACAACATACAGGAATCTATGGGACACAATGAAAGCAATTCTATGAGGGAAATTTATAGCAGTGAATGCCTGTATTAAGAAAACAGAGAATGCTCAAATAAACAACCTAATGCTGAACCTCAAGCTTCTAGAAAAAGAAGAGCATGACAAATCCAAAGCTCATAAAAGAGTGGAAATTATAAAGATCAGAGCAGAAATCCATGCAATGGAGACTAAGAGAATGATAGAAAAAATAAATGAATGAAAGAGTTGGTTTTTCAAAAGAATAAATAAAATCAATAAACCTTTAGCCAGCCTTATCAAAAAAAGGAAAGAAAAGGCTCAAATCCATGCAATTAAGAACAAAATAGGTGAAATCACAACAGATCCAGCAGAAATCCAGAGGATCATCAATACCTACCTTGAGAACCTATACGCCAATAATATGGAAAACACAGAAAAAAATGGACAGATTCTTAGATACATACGAATTGCCAAAGTTAAATGGAGAAGATACAAAAATTCTAAACACCCCAATTACAAGAGTGAAATTGAAAACGTAATTAAAAATTTACCAACCAAGAAAAGCCCAGGTCCTGATGGGTTCACTGCTGAATTGCTACAAGACATTTAGAGAATAACTATCGTCATTCCTCTTTAAACTCATCAAGGAAATTGAAAGGGAAGCAATACTTCCAAACTCATTCCTAGGAGCAAGTGTTACTTTGATTCCAAAACCAGGGAAAGACCCAACCCAAAAAGAGAACTACAGACCAATCTCCCTAATGAACATAGATTCAAAAATCCTCAACAAGA